CTCCCAAAGGGCAGGGACTGAGTCAGCTTGGTTTCCCCAGGTCCTGGCGGGACGCTCGGGACACAGAAGGGGCTTGGCAAATGTTTGCTGAGTAAACATCTAGCCTAAAACGATGGCCTGGAAAGGCATCTAGGAACACCCTCATTCTACACGTAAAGAATCAACTCCCAAATCCCTCCACCCCGAAAGGGTTTTGTTTGTTTGCTGGTTTTTGTTTTTTTAAAGGAACAATCTGATTTTCTTTTCTTTCTTTTTTCTTTCTTTTTTTTTTTTTTTGAGTCAGAGTCTTGTTCTGTCACCCAAGCTGGAGTGCAGTGGCGTGATCTCAGCTCACTGCAACCTCAATCTTCCAGGTTCAAGCGATTCCCCTGCCTCAGCCTCCCGAGTAGCTGGGACTACAGGCGCACGCCACCATGCCTGGCTAAGTTTTTATATTTTAGTACAGACGGGGTTTCACCATGTTGGTCAGGATGGTCTCGATCTCCTGACCTCATGATCTGCCTGCCTTGACCTCCCAAAGTGCTGGGATGACACATATGAGACACTGCGCCCAGCCACAATCTGATTTTCATACACAGAGGAGGACGGTTAACATGGCAGTGGAATGGGGCATTATGCATGGAAGGTAGGAGGGCTGAAGGTGGAGGGCAGGGCCCAGGGAGTCCAGGATTGGAGCTGGGAAGAGGATCATGAAAGGGAGAGGGTGGGAGGCAGAGGGGGAGCTGGATTTCACTGGACACCACATAAAGCAATCCCAGTTTTCCAGATGTACAAATGTCAGATGCATGAGCAGTGCTTTGTGTAATGCAATTTCCCTTTTAAGATGAACACTTTAAGGGCCTTGAAAAGAGGCTGGTTTTCTCTTTCAGATGCTGCCTATTTGAAATGGATGTGGAGCCAGCTCTCAAGGTCAGGGCTGTGAGCTGGAAGCCTTCTCCATGTTGGTAAGGAGCCTGCATGCTGCCTGGCAGCCCACGTAGGTGGGTGGCTGAGCTCGTTCCCCAGCTGCAGACAGGTGGGAAGTGGAGCAAGTGATACGGGCCGTGGACCCTGGCACTGGGAAGGGTCCTCGAACAGTCTGACCAGCTTCTGACACAGAGGGCATGTGCAATAATAGTTAGGAGGGATTTGTCCAGGATGACTCAGAAATACTCCTGGGTTTACAACTTGGAAATATTTATGAAAAGAACTTAGACTGACCTGTGGCTTTTAGACCTTAAAGGACAGGGTTAAGGACAGCCAGACAGAGCTGTTCAGACTGTGCCCCAATGTGGCTGATGACCTGTGACCTCCAGGACAAAGGAAGGGTCACACCATCTCAGGGTGGACTCATAGCAAGTCACCCCAGATAAGCCTCTTGGTGTGCTTTCCCCTGAACTTGGCATGAGATCTGAACTCAGCCCTAGCTCCGAGCCAGGTGTGCGCTGATTCCCCACTCCCCTTTCCCAAGGCTGCTGCTTCCCTGGGCTCTTTTCAGTTCTTTGGATACAGCTGCCCCTTCCACCCCAGGACCTTTACACACAGCTGATCCCCCAGAGCCCTTGCGAGAGGGGCTCATTCCTGCTCCTGTTTCAAGGCTCAGCTTCCGGGCCCCCCTCACAGCCTCAGTCCCTGTGGCCTCCCCAGGGGCAGCCCTGCTGTTCCTGACCTCAGCCCCCTGTTAGTTTCCCTCATAGCCCTTATTGCGAACTGGAATTCTTTGATTTGTGTATATTTTCTGTCTCTGTCTCTCCCTCTCCCCACCAGACAGAAAATTTCATGAGGGCAAAAAATCATATTGTCTCTGTTCTGGTCTAAATATTTATCTCCCCTTAAAATTCCTTTGTTGAAACCTAACCCCTTAGGTAACGACATTAGAGGCGGGGCCTTTGGGCAGTGATGAGGTCATGGGAGAGGATCCTCGTGATGGATGAGTGCCCTTATGAAAGCGGTTTCAAGGAGCCTGTTGGCCCCTTCCACCAAGTGAGGACACATGTAAGGCACCGTCTGTGAGGAACAAGCCCTCACCAGACACCTGATCTGCTGCCGGACTGATCTTGATCTTGGACTTCGCAGCCTTCAGAACTGTGAGCAGGAAGTCTCTGTTCTTTCACTCTAAGGTATTTCTGTAATGCAGCCCCAGTGGACTAAGACAGTCTTATCACCACTGAGTGTGCGGTGCCTGTTCCTGCTCTGGGCACATAGTAGGTGCTCACTAAATATATGCTGAATAATAGATGTGTGGGAGAATTGAAGTAATGAAAAGTCAGAGATGCTTCAGACGTTGTGTGGAGTTGGCTCTGTGCTTTCTGAGATGTCATTTTAATCCTTTGTCACAATGAGATGGTTGTTGGAAAGCCCTGCAAAGCTTCACCGATGCCAAAGGGAATGGTCAGGATGGTCAGCTCCTGGACTAATGCCCAGGTACTGCTGCTGCTGTGGGGTTCTGGGAGACCTAAACAGGAGCAGCTTCCCTGCAAGATTTTATCTTATATTCAAAGACAAGGTGTGTCCATGGGGTACTTCATCTGAAGAGGAGGAGAGTGAAGCCTCTCCCAGTGCATTTATTGAATGGGAAAGACACCAGGAGATTAAACAGCCACACTCTCATCCATCAGGGCACAATCTGGGTTCAGCAAATGCTCTTCCCCCTTTCTTATCTGTTTCCATGAGCCAGAGCAAGCGGGCTCTGTAGGGAGAGAGAAGGTGGGTGCATTCCTGAGTGATCATGCCTTCCCACTTCCCCAGGTAACTACATGGTAAGGCGAGGAAATGGTTATTGCCTCGAAGCTTCAGATCACACAGAGCTGGCTGCAGTCTCTTTCATGAGCATGTTTATTTAAGAGGGGACTTGGGGACTGGGCGTAGTGGCTCACCCCTGTAAGCCTAGCACTTTGGGAGGCCAAGGCGGGTGGATCACCTGAGGTCAGGAGCTCAAGACCAGCCTGGCCGACACGGGGAAACCCCATCTCTACTAAAAATACAAAAAATTGGCTGGGCGTGGTGGTGGGCGCCTGTAATCCCAGCTACTCGGGAGGCTGAGGCAAGAGAATTGCTTGAACCCAGCAGGCAGGGGTTGCAGTGAGCCGAGATTGTGCCATTGCACTCCAGCCTGGGCAACAGAGCGAGATTCTGTCTCAAAATAAATAAATAAATAAAAATAGAGGTGATTTGGAATGTGGCATCCAGTGGGCACATACACAGGAGTTCTCAGTGAAGCTACACGTCATCTCCTCTTCCTCACTCCCTGCTGCAGCCTCACCCAGCGCAGCCGAGGATCGCTCCACTTACACTTTTGCTTACTTGGTAGAAAAATGAAGCTCTAAGTATATGTTAATCTGCCCAAATTCTCAGTAATTTCTCCTCTGGGATTTAGGATTTTTGCCTCCACCAAGTGAGCCAAGGTTATTTGAATAGCAGCTTCTGAATCGACGTAAATACTCAGAGAAAAAGTCAGCAATGTTTCTGTTTGCAAAACTCCTTCCTAGACATTTATTTACCATAAGAAAGTCAGCACGCTTTATCACTGGGATCTAACAAGGCCTAAGGAGACATCTGCTATGTATGCGTTGGTGTTGGTCTTCTTCTGACTGGAACCAGCAGAGTGCATCTTCTGGGCCCTGGTGAGTTTTCTTTTTTCTTTTTTTTTTTGAGACGGAGTCTCGCTCTGTCACCCAGGCTGGAGTGCAGTGGCGCGATCTCGATCTCGGCTCACTGCAAGCTTCGCCTCTCAGGTTCACGCCATTCTCCTGCCTCAGCCTCCGAATAGCTGGGACTACAGGCGCCTGCCACCATGCCCGGCTAATTTTTTTTTTGTATTTTTAGTAGAGATGGGGTTTCACCGTGTTAGCTAGGATGGTCTCAATCTGACCTTGTGATCGCCTGCCTCGGCCTCCCAGAGTGCTGGGATTACAGGCATGAGTCACCACGCCTGGCCGGGCCCGGGTGGGTTTTCTAAGGGTTACTTTCAGATAGTTGCTTTTATTAGATTATGGGTCTAGTTCTCCTTCCTCAAATTGCAATCTGAGCTTGACTGACAAATGTGCAAATTCACAGATTCATCATTTCCCCTGAACTCATGTCTCCATTCTGACACTGAACAGTAACTGTAGTGCAATCCCCAGGCAAGGGCCATTCCCAGAGCTCCTGGCCTTTGCATGGGTCTTACCAACGTGAAGGCAATTCACCCTCAGAGTCACCAGGTACTTTTGTTCATGGCTGATTTTGAGGCTCAGCACGTGCTTTTGGCCCAAGCCCCATACACAGATTTGCTGATGCCCGGTTACCGTGGGGGGCCATGGGGCCAGATGTGGGAAGCACTCCCACGCACATCAGAGCTGTGCCGCCTTTCTCCTCTGAAAATACTGCTTCTCATTTTGAATCAGAGCCCTGGTGAGCATTGGTGTTGGCGTACGTGAGGGATTTTCTGTAAATCTCGGCTCTTCAATATTGCCACTGGGTGACCAGAGCAGAAGAGAAGCGAATCTTACATCCTCTTCTGCTAATGACATTTTCAACAGAAGCTTTGGGACTTCTCTTGAAAGATCCTGAGACCTTTTGCCAACATTAGATATCACAGCCTCCTCTGCCCCTTTCCCACTGTTCAGCGAGAATGATCCTTTTGTAGATGTATGCCCTGACAGCGGAATGCTAGTCCAAGGGCCCCCTAAAGTAGGTATTTTTAGAATTACTCATTACACAGGTAATGTGGGTTCTGAATATTTGACATTAAAGAATGTACAGAAGTTATCTGGGGGTGGCATGAATGACTTAGTGTGAGAACCCTTGCTGCCCGCACCCTCCGCATCTGCCGCCAGCTCTGCCTCCAGACACCTGGTGCAGCTGCCCCTATCCGGCCGTCTCCTCCCCACCTTTGCCCATTCTCCCACCTCAAAACCAGTGGTCTAGATGTTGATACTACATTTTTAGGCTAACAAAACCAAGAAGGACAAGGTTTCTACAACTGGCAATGAGTTTACATGGGCAACTAGTGGCCATCTGTTTAAAATGAGAAAGAGTTCTGCAAGGTCAAGTCCATTTTATTGTGTGAATTTTTAGCAGTGCAGTGGTGTTCTTTTTCATATGAAGATTGATGAATCCTACACAGAGAGAAAAAGATTTGACAGCAGTTTAAGGAGACGTTGTTAGCAAAAACCAAGGCGAGCCGAGTAAGTGGCTTCTCCCCGAAAGCAATTCTTCCCTGTCTAATCTCTTTTTGCAGCTCATTAGTTCTCTGGGAATCAGAAAAAGGTTGTTTCTCAATTATCCTGCCACAGGGGCACATCCTGGTGAAAGCCAGGGCTCTGTGGCACAGCAGGTGAATCGGCACGATGCCATCCCAAGAGCCAGGGCTCTCCTTATCTCTGTTGCCTGGGTCCAGAGAGGTGCCGTGGACGCGAGAGTTTAGGCAGGATCACGGCCCCTGCTGTTTGTTTGGGAGGGGCTTGGCACCAAGGCCATGCCTCTTATTACTACCCGTAGCCTTAAGCAAGCTTATGAACCTCTCTGAGCCTCAACTGTCACGTTGGTAAGAGCTTCTCGGCAGTGTTTTGAGAATCAAGTGCCTGAGCCACGGCAGGCACCTAACACGTGCTCCATGATGCATGGGCAGAGGTGTTTTCAGGGCAGTCTTAAAAGACAGTGGGCAACTTTGGTTTTTGGCAACTTCAGTACAAGCAATTTAAGTTTCTCTGGGGCTCACCTCACATGAGGCATAGGATCGATGGGGGCTGGAAGGCAAGCCATGAGATAAGGGGTGTGAAAAAGACGCCCCACTGTTATAGATCACGAGCAGGGACAGTGCTCCCCAGACGGCAGGGGCTCTTCTCCTCCAGCAAGGTAACTGCTCAGGCCAGGACCTCAACCTCAAAGCAGAAGCAGGAGGCGATGGGCAGTGGGCTCTCTGACTACACAGGAGGCCGGTGGGCGGGAAGTCTGAAGGGGAGAGTCACGGGCAATGCTCATTCTGCCCTGGCCTGGGGACAGGATTCTTTAGGCAGTGGTGACATCTGTCAGGCATCAGATTGGTGGAGCAAGGTGAACAAGTGGGAACGGTTCTCTTCTGAGTTCCTGGAGGCTTCTCCCTACAGGAGACATTCTCAGAGAGCTTCAATTAAGGCAAGAAACCAGCTCTCCAAACTTTCAGCATCCGAAAGTGAAATATCACTTTGGGATTTTGGAGATACTCAAGACTGTGGCAATGACCAGTGCACGACCCCATCTTAAAGCGGGGTCAGCCCTCTGGGGTCCCTCAGATGTGATGGCGTGGGCTCAGAGCCTTCACAGAACCAAGGGCTGTGGGCTCTGAGTGGTTCGTATGAGGAAGCAATGTTTTGAAAATGGCTGGGCACGGTGGCTCATGCCTGAATCCCACCTACTCGGGAGGTTGAAGCATGAGAATGGCTTGATCCGGGGAGGTGGCAGAATTTGCAGTGAGCTGAGGTTGTACCACTGCACTCCAGCCTCGGCAACAGAGCAAGACCCTATCTCTACATAAATAAATTAATTAAATATTTTGAAAGTGACCCCTTGAAACTCTGCCCATCATCAGACTCTGCATTTAGTAAGTCCATGTTTATTCGAGAACTTCTAGAAAATGAAGAACTTTTCAAACTTTCATTGCTTTGGTCACCAGGAAGGAGATTTCCTCGGGATGTGAAGGGGGTCTTCTTGCTTTTAAACTGGCATGGTAGAAGGCAGAGGAGGCACACTGGGGCAGTGCTGCACTAATCCCACTATGCCCAGACTCGGGCCAGGCGGGGAGTTTTGGCTGAGGACCCTCTGCACACTTCCTCTCCTCTACCCAGAGCTTCTAGACTTGGCTGAGAGATGTGACCTGGTCCTGGCTCACAGAGGGCCCTGGTGGAATGAGAGAACTGGAGAGTGGCTCCCTTGGTCAGTTGGGTGATGTTTCAGTCATAAATGAAGGCAGGTGTGGGGAGGAGCCAGGCCGCTGTCTGGGTGCAAGGCCGGCTTCGCCTTCACCTCCCCTCCCTTGCTTAGTTGACCCCCATGGGCTCTAACCTGGGGGCACTGACTGGTCCTAAGACAGGCTTAGATCCGGCAAGGGGGTGTGGAATGGTTTTGCTGTTAGTAACCCTGGGGTCCAGGGAGCCCTGGGGGAGTGCTGGCCTCAGCCAGAGGGTTCCAGCTGTGGCTCCGCCAAAAGGCACCCAGCCTTGGTGATGAGCTGCCTGTCTGAGACTCCTGGGGGCATGCAGCTCCCCTGCTGGGGCACCGTCTGCTTCCCCTAAGTGGGGTGCCAGCCCATTCCCCATTCCCTCCATGGCCTGCTTCCCCAAGACGGATGCCTGGGACCACAACTCCACGCCCTGCCACTGGTGGGAAGACCTCATTTGGCCATGGCACCCTGCCCACCTCTCAAGATCCAGCCCAGGAGCAAAGCTTTCAGAGCCCCTTGCTGGGAGTGGGCAGTTTCTGTCCCAGGCTGGCCCACTCCCTTCCAGCCCCAGGCCTAGAAAACGCATCTGAGATGAAGCGGGCCTGAGCTCTGAAGTTTTCCCTTTGCTCTGCCTCAACTTCCTACCTCTCCGTGGCTCTGCTCCTCTCCCAGGAAGAAGTGCCATAACCAGGGCAGGAAGAGGCTTCCATTCTCAAAGGCCAGTTGAGAGCTGTGAAAACTGTGGGTGAGGCCTCCATAATTCTGTGGCCTGGGAACACTGGCACTCTCTCCCCACGTCAGGCCAGCTAACCTGAAGCCTGTGTGTGTCAACACGCATTCTGGGACCTGACAATCTGCCCTCCTCCACCGTTGCTCTTACTGGGCCTCCAGAGCAGAAACCCCTGGAGGTTGGTGATTTTCAGGCTCTTCTCTACTCTTTTTCTCTTAACACTCACCCTGTCCCTGAATTCTCCTGCTAACCCCCTTGCCCTGTTGTTTCCAGCCTGGGAGGGGCAGCCACTCCCTTCGCCTTCCCAGGGCATCCTCCCTGCCCTCCCTGCCCAGCCCTCCTGGTTGTAGCTCTGCCTGCAGAGGGAGGCCCAGGGGCTTTGCAGCACCGGGCTGGGAGCTTGGTCCAGGCTGAGCTTGATGGTGAAGCTGCCACTGCAGTCACCTCTCACTTTTGATTCACGTCCCATCATCTGCCTTGATAGCAAAGGTGCTGAGCCCTGTGGCAGAGTGTCTCAGCCACAATCAGGGCAGATGCTGATGTTTTATTTTTTGATTTTTTTTTTGTTTATGTTTTTTGATGGAGTCTGTCGCCCAGGCTAGCGTGCAGTGGCACAATCTCGGCTCACTGCAAGCTCCACCTCCCAGGTTCACACCATTCTCCTGCCTCAGCCTCCTGAGTAGCTGTGACTACAGGCACCTGCCACCACGCCCGGCTAATTTTTTGTATTTTTTTTTAGTAGAGATGGGGTTTCACTGTGTTAGCTGGGATGGTCTCGATCTCCTGACCTCATGATCTGCCTGACTTGCCCTCCCAAAGTGCTGGGATTGCAGGTGTGAGCCACCGCGCCCGGCCCAGATGCTGATTTTTAAATGCTCCTGGCTCTCCTTTCTCTTTGCCCCATTCCTGTTTCAGGGCCAACTGGCTCATCGTGCCCCTGACACTCAGCTTTCTCCCCAGGTCACACCACAGGCTCGCCAAGATTGTGAAAAAAACAAAACAAAACAAAAAACTACTGTGATGATTAGAAGCACTCTGAGAGTCTTGGGCCAAAAAGCACTAGAAAAGCCCCAGCTGCTGGGGTTCCCCTTGGTGGGAGGTGCAGGGCACGGTGTGATTGGGAGTAGGCCAGGAAGCTGCTGATGCCACTATGCTTGTGCTCAGAGGGGCTGTCTAGTCCCAGGCCACCTTCTAAGAGTCACTCTAATGAGATCGATTCTCCAGTAGGTTACATTGGACACACAGAACACAGCAGAGGAAAAGCACACACTTGGCAGATAGCAGCAGAGAACACCAAGGGCTGTATGCTCTGTAGCTCTCAGTAATGGGTCATCAGTATCTGATTTAAAAGGAATTGCCTATGTGACATGGATGGACCTTAACCCGTGAGGGCTCTGTGAGCTCATGCTAGACTAGAGGTTTGAGCTCCCATCAGGTAAGGCTCCTCTCTGAATCCACGGCAAGCCTCAGGGTGGAAGGAATGAGGGGACAAGGTGATGGCTCTCTCTAGATGTCAGTCCCTGGAGGGTCTGTGAGACCCAAAAAAGGAAGTGACCCAGAGCAGGGAGAGAACAGATACCACCTTGTAACATTCACCATGGGGAAACTCATCCTGGCCTGGCCCTTAGCCAGCACCCACAAGAGGCAGCACTGCCATGGGAGGCCCAGGAAGGATGCCACTGGCTCAGGGAGGCCCTGTGCTGGGAGCTGTGGGGGCTGGGTATATGGTTCCTCCCCACAGCCTTGATGGCTTCTGAGCCCCCAAACAGCACACTCAACTATTCCCCTCCCCTGGTCCCAGGCTCTGCAGTGCCTGTGCTCACTGAAGCCAGTGACAGGAGGTCTTAGGGAGGCTGCAGTCCTCACACCGAGCCCCTGGCCTCCCTGGACCCACCTAGCCTCTTGGGCTCATCGTCTTCATTCTGCTCAGCCTCTGCATCCAGCCCTGCCTCAGCACAGCCCCCTAGCAGCGGGGGGCTGGGGAGGTACTGGAAGAGCCGGCCTTCCCGCTTCATTTCTGCCAGCTCCTTGGCACAGCAGCTGGGAGTGTTGGTCTCATAGGTGTCGTGGAAGGTGTTGTAGTCCACCTCATAAAAGCCCTTTTCCAAAGTGAGGACTGGTGTGAATCGGTGGCCCCAGAGCACCTCTGTATCCATGTAAGAGCTCCGGGCTTGGCAGGTCATGCCTGGGAAAACAGAAGTTACATGCATTATGATGCAATCATCCACCCGTCCATTCATCCATTCATCCATCCATCCATCCATCCATCCATCCATCCATCCATCCATCCAATCATCTATCTATCCATCCATCCATCCATCCATCCAGATATGGAAAAAAAGGCAGGAAAGGGCAAAGATATAGCCATCCATCCATCCATCCATCCAATCATCTATCCCTCCATCCATCCATCCATCCATCCATCCATCCATCCATCCATCCAATCATCCATCCGTCCATCCACCCAATCATCCATCCATCCATCCAATAATTCATCATCCATCTATCCACCCAATTATTTATTCATCTATCCTTCCAATTATCTATCCATCTATCCTATCACCCATCCATCCATCCATCCACTCATCTACCCAATCACCCATCCATCCAATCATCCATCCATCTAGTCATCCATACATTCATGCATTCCTTCATCCATTCAATCATTCATCAACCATTTCATGAACATCTGCTTTGTGCTAAGCACAGTGGAGATGTAAAGCTGAATATGACACGTCCTTGCCCTGGAGGAGTTCAAGGCATGGTGGTGGCAGAAAATTAGAAACCAACATGCAAGATTCTGAAAGTCATTTCCTAGAGATTGGAGTGAATAGATGTTGGAACAGTTGAAGGCAGGGACTTGGTTCCTGAAAACAGCATTCAGGTCTAGAAGATTGAGATGGGAAAAAGGCAGGAGAGAGCAAAAATAAATTCAGCGTGAATGAACACGGAGAAGCTGACAGGCATTTGGAACATATGGGGATTGTTTTGGGTAGACACATATGGAGAGAGGGCTCCACACTCACATACACACAGGAAGAGGAGCAGACGCACACACGGAGCTTGACTTCTTGATTTGAGGCTGCTCCAATGCCTCGCTTCCCTGGCTACTCAGCCCGTGCCATGCCTGTGCTATTTTTAGGTGTTGCTTTCTCTCCAGAGAGGAGAGCAGCTTTGTTTATGAATGAGGAGGCCTCTGTGCTTAGGGTCACAGGAAAGCAACTTTCTGATATTTAATCTTCTGGCCAAGGAAGGCATTAACTGTGCTGGTTGGGTGCTGAAGGCAACCACCTCCGGCTCCCACTTTGAGTTTTCTCTGGGAGGGGCTCATACAAACCAGACCGAGGTCCCAGGCTGCTTCTCAGCCCCAGCACACCCACACAGGTGGGCCCACAGGCTGCCCTCTGCTCTCAGGGATGCCTGCCTGCGCCGGGCCTCTCCCTTCAGTCCTCACCCTTGTCCCCACAGCCTTGGCAGAGAGGCCCGAACTGGGCCCTGAGCAGCCTAGACTATGCCAGATATCTGCAGGCTCCCAGGGCCTTGGGAAAGGTGTGGGCAGGACCTTTCCCCTTTGGGCGCCTCCTGCTGCTCATGGCGTGTGGTAGCAGCTGCCCTGTAGCTAGAGATCCTGCTGTGTCCCTGTCACTGCTCGATGCCTTTGGAAAGGATTCTCCAGGTGTCAGGTATAGTGCTCAGCACAGGGTGCTCCTTTTCATCTTGAATCCTCCCAACAGCCCTAGGAGATGGATTTTCCTCGCTCTGCTGACAGAGTAAGCAGTTGGCTCAGACCCGCTCAGGCAGGATACAGCACAGTTGTGCTACTCAGGCCGAGGCGTGGATTCCCAGCCCACACCTGGCTGCATGTGCCTGACAACCCAGCCACCCACATCCAGGACAGATGTGGGCCGGGGTCTCCTGCCCTATCTCCCTGGATCTCCCCTACAGTTTCTGGGACAGAGCAAGCATAGCCCAGGTTGTAGGAGGGGAAGGAGGACAAACCGTCAGGACAAGTGAACCGTGGGCCCCTGACTTCGAGGGAGGCATGGCTGGGGGTGTAGCAGGGCGGATAGCACTGGTTCCCTCCACTATGTGGGCGCTCTCCCCGCTGTGTGGCTGGGGAGTGAGGGCGGCCTTGGGGAGCGGTCAGGCATGCTATGATTTGTCCCCATGTCTCTCACCCAATCCCTTTTTTGTGACTCCAGAGTGGAGCTCTTCCCCTGAAATGCAGCCTGGGTCCTGATTCTGACCCTAGAGCCAAGAACAGGGTGACCTGCAAGCCCCTAGCTCTGCAGGGGAAAGCTTCCTGCGTCCTGACTGTCCTTGGCCCCGGGGGCTGTCCACCTGCCACCGTATGCTGCCTGCCAGGCTCCAGCCCCCAGCAGATGGCCGAGCAGCCCTCTGTGGCACCAGTCCCTGGAGCCTGTCATTGCCCTCTCCTGGTTCCACCGACTTCAAAATGGGAAGGCTTGTGGAGTCTGGGTCTGAGTCCCCTGCCCGGCAGCCAGCTTTCTGGGGTCTGGAAGGTGTGCTTGGCCATCTTTCTGACAGGCCCCTAGTATTTCAGGGGGGCAGAGTGGTGAGAGAAGCTCCAGATTTGTAAGTGGAATAGCTGAATATGCGCACTCACTGTCTACATAATGCTTTTGAGGTTCAGCTTTGACATCTGTAAAATGAGACTGAAGCCAGCTCTACACTGTTGTTTGCAAGAATTAGAAAAATAGATATGTATCATTCTGAGTGTGACTGAGTTTCTAGAAGCCATCCTTAGGGCCTGACCAGCTGCTCATTGTACCTGGTTGGAAAAAAAGGGAGACAGAGACAGAGAGAGAGAGAGAGAGAGAGAGAGAGAGAGAGAGAGAGAGAGAGAGAGAAAGGAAGGCACGAGGAAGAAACGAAATACGCAGGATGTCGGATTTTGCTGGGGGTGGGGTGAGGACTAGGGTCCTCAGCCAGAGCTCAGGCGGTCCCAGGCCTTGGGATCCCTGGAGCCACGTCACAGAGGTCTGCCGTGGCTGAGTGGCTGAGGAATGGGGGGGTCTTTGGTTACCAGCTGCCGGTGAGTCAGTAGCTGAGCAGGGAGGTGCCATGCTGGCCACAAAAAGGGCATTTTCTTGGGCATATGTGGATGTTGATGCCTCAGTATGGAGGCACTGGTTTTTTTGTGAGAAAGGAGCTTTGCCTGCCCTGGGTTCACTAAGCCAACCTTCTGCAAGAACGCTGAGGGCTGGCTGCTCCAGAGGGGGTCCAGCCAGAAGAGCCCCTCCCTGCAGCAAAGGTCTTTCCAAGTAAAGGATTGGTGAGAGCCCTTTTGAGTTTAGGAAATTCTGCATCCTCTCCTTTCCCAGTGATGAGACTCAGTGGGTAAGGAGAGTGAGAAGTCCACTAGTCCACCGTAAAGAAACTAGTTCACCTTTGTTTCGCCCTGTGATTACCAGAGCTATCTGACCAGCAAGCTCTTCTGGGTAGAACACTTGTTCCAAGAAGGGGCAGTTTGGCCTGTTGGAAACAAGTGCTGGCTCTGGGGTCCCCTGCCTCAATTTCCACCCTGGCTTTATCACTCAAAAGTGCTTGCTCTTAGGCAAATAATTTAGCCTGTCTGTGTCCCTGTTTCTTTATTTGTACCTTAATAAAAACTATCTCAGCTGGGCACTGTGGCTCACACGTGTAATCCTAGCACTTTGGGAGGCCAAGACAGGTGGATCACAAGGTCAGGAGTTCAACACCAGCCTGGCCACCATGGTGAAACCCTGTCTGTACTAAAAATACAAAAATTAGCTGGGCGCGGTGGCGGGCACCTGTAATCCCAGCTACTCCAGAGGCTGAGGCAGGAGAATCGCTTGAATCTGGGAGGTGGAGGTTGCAGTGAGCCGAGATCGGGCCACTGCACTCTAGCCTGGGTGACAGAGCAAGACCCTATCTCAAAAACAAACAAGCAAGCAAACAAAACAACAACAACAACACCACCAACACCACAAAAAACCCCACTATCTCGTAAGGCATGCGAGGACATTTGGCCAAATGACAGATGTTTATGGTTTAGGACAGTGCCTGAAAGTTGGGAAGCTCCTGTCAGTGTTAGCTGTTGCTATTACTCCATCTTGAGTAGCAGTACCACTCAAACCACAATTTAGGGATTGAACGTGTTGCCTGTGCCACCCCAGGACTCTCAGGCACAGACCTGCATCTTCTTGAGTCACAGTGGTCTAAGTCTGAAGTGTAAGTAGGGCCATCTGTGGCTAAGGAGGACAAAGCGCCTTACCTGTGGCTTCCACCATCCCTTCTAGAATGACCACAACTTCGAACTCCTCCTGATGCAACTGAGCCTGAGACATCTCCCAGAAAGGGCTCTTCTCATTGATCTCGTGGGAGATGATCAGAGGAGACACCAGGAAGAGGCGGTCGTCGCCCGTGTCGAAGCCCACGTTGATGTCAGTCTGGTTCAGGGGGATGAACTCCCCCTCTTTGGTCTGCCGGGACTTGATGAGCTTGGCTCGAATGGAGGCCTCTACAATGTGGGAGTTGCGGAGGTCACCCACCCGGAACATGAGGCACAGCTTCTCATCCCGCATGGAGATGACCGCGTTGTTGGAAAACATGAGAGTCTCAGCTCTCTTCTTGGGCTGGCTGATCTTGACAAACATGCACCCCACCATGAAGGCATTGACGATGGAGCCCAGGATGGCCTGAACCAAGAGGAGTATAATCCCCTCCGGACACTTCTCTGTGATGACTCGGAAGCCATACCCAATGGTTGTTTCGGTCTCAATGGAGAACAGGAAAGCGGACACGAAGCCACTGAGGTTTTCAACACAAGGAATCCACTCTTGGTCACCAACATGGTCCAGGTCACCCCGGATGTAAGCAATGAGCCACCAAATGAAGCCGAAGAACAGCCAGGTGACGGTGTAAACCATGGTGAAGACGAGCAGGTTGAAACGCCACTTGAGGTCCACCAGGGTGGTGAAGAGGTCACTCAGGTACCGGTAGGTCTCCTGGACGTTGCCATGATGCACGTTGCACTTGCCGCTCTTCTCCATGTAGCGCTGGCGCGGCTTCTTGCCTTCGGCCAGTAGGCGCGTGCGGTCTGTGGCAATGGGGACGTATTCGCGGGCCTGTTTGGGAATCCTCTTGGGGTCCCATGGAGTGACTCCAATCTCCATGTCCTGGTTCATGGCATTCCTAGAATCACCAGCCATAGCTGGGATGCTTTGAGTTAAAAAAGACATCATCAGGGAAGTGGGCTGTTCTGATTCACTAGAACACAAGATCAAAGGCCACCCCCACCCTGGGGCTCTCCCAGGCTTCTCCTCTGGATCCAGGGGTCAGGGTGTAAAATCGTCAAGGGCAGGGGCCTCACTCTCTTACAGGGTTCTTTTGTATCCCTGGTGCCTAGTACGGAGTCTAGCACATAATAGATGCTCGATAGCTGTTTGTTGAATGAATACATGAACAACACCTAGGTGCAAAGTACACATTAAATGTTAAAATGGTTTGAGAAATGTGGGAGCAATTTTAAAAAGAATAATCACAACAGTTTATTAAATGTACTATGTCCCATGCATTCCATGTGGATTGTCGCTTATTATCACCACAGCAACTCACTGGCATTAGATATTGGAATTCCCACTATATAAACAACATATTGTTTGCTTATGAATCAGGCTTAATTCAAATCGTCTCTCTCCCACCATCAGAAGGTAAGCTCCACAGGGGCATAAGTGTGTGTTCGTTTTGTTCTGTGATATTCCAAGCACTTAGAACATAGCCTGGCACATAGATGTATTCAAAAAGTACTTATTGAATAATTGGATGGATAAATAAGAAAATGGGGTTCCAAAGAGGTTAAGTGACCCCCAGGCCACCAAATATTAGGCAGAGCTGATATTTGGATTCCTGCTCATCTGGCCCAAGCCTGTGCTGTTTCTTTCATTCCTTACTGTCTCCATTTATCTTGAGGCCTTTTAGCAGCAGACAGAAAGGAAAAGGCGGCACGTGTCTGATTTGTCGATTGATCACTCCTACCATCTGAGTGTGAAGTCTGCGGCCATCTGAGCACTTATTAAAATGACAAATTGCTGTGTAGACCCGCCATTAGAAAATTTGATTCCCTGTCCTCTAAGAAATTGAAATGGACAGGATGTCAATGACCCCAAGGCTCTTCAAAGGGCATAACGTGTTTGGGGGGTACCTGCCACACTCCCAAGAGATACCCAGACGCCTGCAGTACAGGTGTCGGATATTTCCCTCAAAACCCGTTTGAGATGCTTTAAGACTCTCATGCAATTAGGAAAGACCTCTTTAATTAACAATAACAGATACATTTCTGAGCACTCAGAAGCCAGGCACTGCACTAGGACATTTCTATCCATTAACTGATTTAATCCTCACAACATAGTTAGATAAATACTATTATTATCCCCCCATTTTTCGGAAGAGAAGAATGAAGCTCATGTAGCATGTGGCCAAGTGAGGTTCTGGGTCTAGGTTTATCTGGCTGCAGCCCGAGTCCTGACCCACAGCACTCACTACACAATGGCCAGGAGACACTGATGCTCCATGACTCATGCTAAGGCTGATGACCTGCTCCCTCCAGAAAGTTCTATGAGCTTCCAGCCCTGGGAAACGTCACCTTAGGGATACTATCCTTCAACCCTTCTTCCTCTTTATAAGCAAGCTTTCCCTGAATTTGCAGGTACCCTCCTTCCCAGGTATAGGGTTCCCCAGGAACCCCCACTCACTTATCTGTCCTGATCGAGGAACACAGAATGCCTAGACTGCTCTGTCACCTGGCCAGCTGCATGTCTTTTCCTGCAGACCTGAGCCCTGGAAACATTCCCTGGCGCTGAAACCCTGTTTAGGTTGTCACCTGAAATACTGAAAGATCAAACATGTTGCTAAACATGTAGGAATTAGCCCAACTTTAGGCCAAGTAACTCCATAACCCAGAGCCCTTGCTGCAGACGTACCTAAACAGAGCATCTCTTTTCTTGCTGTCCGTCATGAGGACCACTGCAGCGCTCTACATGTAAGTTCCCCTCATAAGTGCTTTGGAACTTGGTGTTTTCTTCTTTGGAATCTCAACTGACCCCATTTGGGGATGGTTTGGGTAGTCCCTTGCAGGAATTCCCCTGCCACCATTCTGAGGGTGACTCCAGCTGCAGGTTCCACCAGGCAGAACACCAGGAAGCTGTGTCCCCAATAGAACAACCTGGAGAAAGGTGTGTCAACCACTGAGCCGACTGCCTAATGGCAAACCAAGGTAGATTCCAGCTGTCCTGGGAAGTCAGATGACACTGGCAGGCCTTTTCCAGTGCTGCCTGAGTGGTTATAGCAATTTTAAAGTAACCTTTAAAACATCATATCGAAAGGTCATCTGAAGGGCTATTTGTCCCACATATCCATTGGCCATTTCCCATTCTGCATAGGGCCACCTGCTTCCTGCTCCTTCGCGTGGCAATTAACAAAGATAAATGAGACAAGGAGGAAAATGCTTGGGGCTCTCTTTGCAGAATCCCAAGCAGGAATTTGCTCTGCCTTAAGTGGGAGACTTCATCCTGAAAACCTGATCACAGACGCTCAGAGATGGTGGGAAATGCTGCTGTCCCAAGGCCCCGTGTATTCTGGACACCCCAGCTGTTGGAACCAAGATAGGGTTCCAATGGGGGTGCTGCTGCGGACTCCCTGAGCCACTGAGGTTGGGCAGGGCAGGCACAGTGCCCACAGGAATGAGTCATCGGCTGGGGCACATGGGAGCTCACATCCTCCTGTGCTCAGCTCTTTGGGGAAAACAGCTTGCTGCTGATTTTCTGCACTGTTTCCTTCTTTATTTTTAAACATACTTGCATACATTCTTGTAGGCGAAGGCTTTGTGCTGTACTAGAAATGGGAAAATGTTTTCTAGGAGACTTCAGCCCAGATAGGAGAACTTTTTGCATCCGGCAGATAGGAAAAGGTGGTTTACTTTTGATTTGATATTGGGATGCATTCCTGTGCACTGGAATCATCTGCAGAAGTCATTCCTTGCTCAACCCAGGGTAACATTTGGATTCTAACTCAGTGTCCAACAACCTGCTTTGTGGTCCAAAGAAAAACAAACTTAACTTTCTTTGCTCAGTTTACTCTGCTATAAATCCCAGATAATATTCTCTGCCCCTCCAGCCCTGGGAGCCAATTATAGGGATTCTTGGAAGGAATACAGGATACAAACATAAATATAAATAAAATAAACATACGTATTCATAATCTCTCCTCAAATTGAAATTTAATGCAATATCCCATTAATTCCATTTTAAAGATGAAGAAAGAGAGGTAGAGAATATCTAAGACAAGGAGCTAACGGCCCAGTGGGCAATTTGCAGGGCAAGCATTGGGCTGACTGGCATGGAGCCTCTACTGTTCAGATTTCTTTTAAGGGTAAGTAAAATCCCCATCCTTGAAACCCTGGCTTCCAGTGTTGTGTGCCTATCAAGTCAAAAGGATTTTCAGGGACAATGGAGATGAAATTCTTTAATCAGGTTTTTGAGATCCATTCTATTAATTATGCACTCATTAAGCACACATTAATTGAGGAATTACTGTAGCGGAGCCCCTGTGCTAGGAGCTGGACATAAAGCAGTGAAGAAGATAAACGCAGAGCCAGCCCTCCCATTGTTGATATTCGAGCATTTCCTCTTTGCAGCTAGGGTTTTTACAGAACTGTCTGTAGAGGACAGACAGCGAGGAACGCCGTGGCTGGCCTAGGCAAGCCGAACATCCTAGCTACTCTCTGCAGGATGCAGGGAAAGGCACTGACTTGAGCAAATCCTATTAAGCCTCATCAAGCCTGTTACTGCTCTTCTTCCACCCTCTCCTGTGTCTGCGAATGGGAAGCTGTGCTGAGACATGAAGAAAGCTTTTGGAAAAGACAGAGCTTCAAGTCCAGCAAAGTGGTTTAATCCCTTTGATAGGAAAACACAAGTGGAGAAAGACTCAAAAGAGGCAAAATCAAAGGAAGTTGTATTTCAGATGATGCATTAGTGAATCTGACATCCATTTAGATGGACCTCTGGATTAAGAACATCAAGCATCACGCACCCATAGGGAGGAAAACTTGGTGTCATGGCATGGTCTAGAATGTCAGGACTCGGGGCCACAGCAACCTGATAAGAGCCTTGCTTGGGGGTCAGCAGGGCTTCCTGGAGAGATCACTGGGCTGGGAGTGATTTTTCAGACTCAGTCTCCCTATCTGTGATCACAAACATCTTTATCAATTTCCTACTTTCTCTCTCAGATATGCTGGATCAAAATGTACATTCCCTGAGCTTTGAAACACAGGGTGAGGTTGGAGGAAGAGGAATGGAGGAGGGTGTGCTTATGTCTCATATGGAGATATTTGTATACTCTTCTATGGGAATATATATGACTGTACTCATAGGAAAATGCTCCAAACTGGTTGGTGAATAGGCTGCGCCACTCCCCTCAAGGCCCTTTAGGGTTAGCAGGAAGCATTCAAGGTGTTACACTTGAATGTAACACCAGAATACATGCTGGTGACAGGGAAGGCACTTGTAAGTAGGCAGAATTCCAAGACACCCTGGTGATTCCTGCCCCCTTGTATACACCCCCTGAGGAACCCCAGGAAATCCTCACTCCCATGACTGGGGCATGTCATATGGCAGAGCTGACTTGAAGAAAGAAAGTTCATCGGGGGTGAGCTTGACCCAGTCATAAGCCCTTTGAAAGGATTGGGCTTTTCCTGAAGTAGGAGATTCAAATTATTAGAGGAATTAGACAGAGGGAGGTTCTCTTCTGCTGGTTTTAAAGATGGAGGGGGCCACAGAGCAAGGAATGTGGGTGACCTCTGGGAGCTGAGAGCAGCCCCCAGCTGAGAACTAGCGAAAAAATGAGGACTTCAGTCCTACAACCACAAAGACCTGAATTCTGCCAGAACCACAGGAGCCTGAAGGGGGCCCTGAGTTCCACATGAGAATGCAGGCCTCGCAGACACCCTGGTTTTAGCCTTGTGAGAACAGAGCAGAGAACACAGTCGCATCGAGCCTGGACTTCTGACCTACAGAACTGTGAGCTAATAAATGGGTGCTGTTTCCAGCCATTATGCCTGTGGTCATCTGTTATGGCAGAAATAGAAAATTCAGTACAGAAAGGGAAGCCGGATCATAAACAGTGAGGAAGGCTGACTCTGGCATCAGATGACCTAGGTTCCTATTTTGCCTGGAGCCGAGGCACATTTGGAAAAGTTACTTCTCTAAGCCTCCGTTGCTGTATTTGCAAAGTGGGGATAACAGTACTCACCAAGAAGAGCTGCTGCGAAGATGAAATGAAAAGTGGGTGTGTGTACAGTGCCTGGCTTACGGGAGCCCTCCTGAGAGGTAGTTCCTACGATTTTCCACCAGGGGGCAGGGCTGGGAAAAGGGGTGGGGGCTGAGGAGCCGGAGTGCTTCAAACCACTCAAGGATAAGGAAGGAGAATCCAGAAGTCCCGAATTCCTACGGAGTGTCTGCATCGTGCTCCCACTCCCAGGAGAGAGACGTTATCTTCAGTTTACAAAAGCGGAAAACAGGAGAGAGTGTAAAAACCTCGCCCGGAGTCGCACAGCTAGTGCTGCAGGCTCTCGGCTTCCGCATCAGCTGCCCTAGATGAGCGCATGCCTGGAGGCCCCGCTCGGCTGCAGCGCCGGTGGGACCGGGAACCCGCGCCCCTTTCCTCCTCCCGCCCCGCCCCCAGAAGCCAAGCCTGAAGAATTTTCTAAGAACTTTCCCTTTCGTCCCTCCCACGACTAAGGTCCAGGTCTCAGGAGTTTCCCTTGCACCTTCATCCCTGGCCCTGCAGAGGCCTGCTTCTCGCTTCCAGGGTCGCCAGAGCGCCCCTCCCGCCACCCGTCGATCTCCTGGCCGGATCCTGGGAGAGAAGGAGAGGAGGTTGGGACCGGAGATGGGGACTGAGACTGGGGAAGGGAGCCTGGGAGAGATGGGGAGGGAGGCTGGGACTGGGGAGCCTGAGCGCCGCAACCTCTAGCCTGGCCTCGGAGTGTGACACAGGGGACACCCCTCACTCCGCGGGGGACGAAGCCCCCAGTGGGGCTGGATAAGGCGATGCTCGCCGCCTGGGTTCGGCCCCCTAGTTAGCTGCAGCTCCGCGGCGGCGGAGGAGGCGGGGCTGGGGGATGCAGGCTGGGAGGGTGAGAGCCAGAAAGAGCCTGCGGAGGGGAGACAGAGGCCCTGTCCCCAGGGAACGGGCGTGGGGAGGCCTTTGGCAGTGCCGGGGACTCCCCACCAGCGAGTCTGTCTTTCTTCCAGCGGCCCCAGCCACCTGGAGGCTGTGCCCAAACCACACAGGTGGACAGGATCTTCCCAGGGGCCAGTCCTGGTTTCCCAGGTTTTCACAATTACTAATCTTAAAACAAAACAAAATTGTCTTCAGGTGTACTAGAAGAGGTTTCATGGCGCAGAGCCTGGTGGTAATAAGTCTTTAAAAACCCATCAGGTATTTCATTTAAAAACCTCACCATTTTGCAGTTATTTGTTCTATCAACTTAAGTCTGTGTCTATTTTTGAATTCCTGAATGTTTTACAGGTTTACTTTTTGAGCCTGTTTGTTTCATAGCACATGAGGGAGTAGGTGTGAAGTCCCAGTGGAAACTGACACGGGGCTTCACTCATTCAGTCAATTAGTCAATCAGTGAACCCCCACTCAGCACCCACTGGGTGTTTGAATTATGTCCAGCTCTGGGGACGCTTCTCTGGCATTCCTGTGCTTTCCATTCCTGGGGATCTGGCTAAAATGCAGGTTCTGATTCTCTAGGTCTGGGGTTTCCAGAGTCTGTGGTTTTGCTAAGGAGCTGCAGTGATGTTGATGCGGCTGGTCCTCAGTGCACACCTGAGTGGCACGACCTCTCTGCCCTGGACACACGCTGCCATCAGCTGGGAGCTGGACAACGTGCTGATGCCTCGTCCCAGAATCTGGCCCCAGGTGAGTCCAACAGGCAATTAGATTGAGGACCCTTGATGCATTCTCTGTCCAAAAGGAGTTCCCGGTCTGGTGGGGAGTACACAGGTGAAAAAAATATCAGTGCGATAGAGAGTGAGAGAGAGGCCAAGGTGCAGTTCTGAATTTGGCTTGTCTGGGGTGGGTGAGGAAGGGTCCGGAAGGCCCTGGTGAGGAAGGCGCCCAGTGAGCAGGACGAGGTGGCAGAGCCTTGCGGGCATGAGAACAGGGGAGCAAACAGTCATAATACTCGGGCATGGAATCCCTGTTATGTGCCATCTTTGTGCTGAGTGTTTTTCGTGCATTGTATCATTTAATCCTCAAACAGATCTATGAAGTCTGGTTTAGTCGCCTCATTTTACATGTCACAGAAGCAGAGTGATTCAGTGGCTTGCTTCAGGCCACACGGTTACAAAGCTGTGGACTAGGTTTTGTCTGATTCCAAAGGCTCTAAGTGCAGCCTCTGCTGCTGGGGAGGTTGTTCCTCCTGAGCCCTCTGGGTGTGACCAGGTTGTTCTGAGCCCCCGGGGGGATCAAGCCCTGAGAAAACTGGCCCTGGATGGAGCCAGATCCACACCAGCCTGATCTGCACCAGGGAAGGAATTCATGATTTCCTGCTGTGTGGCCCGCTGTGCACAGGCTGCCCCGCAGCTCGAGTCACTTCCCGCCAACCAGGGCTGTGTTCTCCCTCTCCCTCCTGCTCCCCTCCAGCATGCTCCCCATTCATCTAACAGCTGCTCCTCTTATTGTGGTTAGACTTTTTCTAACCACAATACTTGCCCCCAAAGGTCCCTGATTGCTCCAAGGAGATAAGGTGTCCATGCGTCCGGGGTAACACCTGCTGTTCTGGCAGCATCACCAAGAGTGCCCCCTCGATCTCTGAAGATCTGCTTGGACAATGGCGCCCACAGTAGAAACAAGAGCCCTAACTAGCAGCCGCTGATTTCATTCTTAACACGCCTTTACTGGATTCTCCTTCTTCTGAGGCAGGTCTGCCTCTGCCAGGAGTGAGGGTAATGCCTCCTCACTCTGGAATTTCTCCGCTGGGCAGGATGTGCATGTCATAGTAACCAGAACCTGTGGGTCTTGTGCTGAGCTCTGCCGCCTACACCCGCGGCTGTGGCTGTGTGAGGTCAATGAGCGCAGATGCCGGATCGGGTTCTTCCGACACAGACACACTCTACATCCTTCTTGGTTCTGTGCTGTTAGTAGGCTTTCTCCTATTTCTATTTAAATGGGATGTCTCAGACCCTCATTTTCATATTTTGATGTAGAGAAACATTTAAAATATTGCATTGTGTTTATTCTAGGAAAAGCAAATATACAAACCCATGATAAATGCGACCAAAACTTCCCCTGGGTTTAGGGGACATGGTGGGGCGGGGGGGACTGTGGTGAGCTGTACACACATGCAGTTCTAAAGCAGCAGCCGCTACTCGCCTCTAGTTTATTATTGCCTTGCCATGCCATGGAACCAGTACTGCAAGATCCTCCTTTTGCTTTTTCCAGAAAAGCCAGAAATTAAACTTTTGAAGATGAAATTTCTCTGTTTCCATGTTGACCACTAATTCAACAGTTTTTGAAAAAATGAGCAAGCTGTAGAAGATCTCTGTGTGAGTCAGATTCAGTCTCTCAGCTGCTGGTTTGTATTTCTGGGCTAGGGAGTCAGAGAGAAGCCTTTTCCTCCCATGGCTATGTTGGGCTGCTTTGTGAGTTAGGCTGAGAGTGGTGGTAGGAGTTGTGGTAGTGCCACTAGATGCCTCTCAGCGCCTCCCTGTTTGCACTACCAGATCTGCCACAAACATGACCTGCCAGTCCTCAGGACAATGAAGGCAGGAGGCCCGGCAGGAAGAGGAGAACTCAATCTGCAAGGCCCATGATAGCAGAGAGGGCCACCTGGGCTGCCCCCTCAGTGCCCATCAGCCTGGTTCCCGTGGTCCTAACTAGCTCTGTCGCCTTGCCAACAGCCCTGTGCTCCCCAGCCCCCTCCACCATGCATATGGCTGCTATGACATCCCTGTTCCTTAAAGTGTGGGGTTCCTCGCTGCCTTTTCCTCCCTAACTGGCACCCCGTGCAAACCTGCTGCAGAGAACAGCGTCCTGGGCAATGGCAATAGCCCTCCAGTTCACCAACAGTAAAAATGGTCTCAATGGGGAGAGAGTTCTGACTGCAAGCGCCCTGAGTCCTTCCAGAGGAGGGCTGGAGAGACAGGAGGGCGGATCAGGCGGCCTCCTGAGCTGGTTCCTGGCGCCGAGGTAATGGATGCTGATTATCAGCGGTGAGGGCATCCCGGAAAGGATGGAAAGGACTGCAGAGCTGTGTGCGAGATGAGTGGGATGAGGCCGCAGGTGCTGATTTTTATGCCCAGGATGCTCCTGGCTGTCACGGACTCCCAGGGGCTCCAGGCATGCATAGCTCTTTCACCTCTTCTCCAAGCAGAATGCCCCAGAAAGGCCGCCTCTATTATCCAGAGTGGCTAGAGTCTCCGGTGGCTGTGCGCGGGGACTGAGGGCCAAAATCAGGGCAAGGGGCTTTCAGTGAAACGCAGAGCCAGGCAGGGACAGCGCGGATCTCGGAACAGTCTGTGTCAGATGGGACACTTCATCCCCGCGGAGCTGTCCGTGCACACGATGTTCTCTGATTGCCAAGCTGTTAAGGGCTCCGCGGAAGGGAGCTGCTGGGAAGGCGGGCGAGGCATCTCAGGCGGGTGAGGGGCTCTGCTGCATCGGCCTTGCTCAGACCGACCATCCCTGGGGAGCTGTCACTGGCACCCAGGTCTCCCCTTCTCAGCGCATCCTGTGCCTCCATTCTGGGCCGCCTCTGTCCCTCGAAGGGGAGCTCCCCACATGGGTGGGATTATTGTTGAGAACAAAGTTAAGGTGTTGACGAGGAAGCAGGACTGAGGTTGATCCCAGAGTCACTCAGTTGTCCCTCATTTTGCTCGGAGACACCCTGACCAGGACAAGCTCTTTAGGCAGCATCTTTCCTGTCTGCCACATTCTCCATGGCCTTTGCACTCTTTGCTTTGGCTTGAAACACGTCGTCAATTCATTGCCTGCGCAGCTTGGACTGCCTTTTGGTTTTTCTTTGCAGAACAGCTCTGGAATTGAAGGGTGTGTGTGTGCGTGTGTCTGTGTGTGTGTGCGCGCGCGCATGTGTGTGTCTGTGTGTGCACGTGCGCGTATGTGTCTGTGTGTGCACGTGCGTGTGTGCGCACGCACACGTATGTGTCTGTGTGTGTGTGCACGTGCGTGTGTGTGTCTGTGTGTGTGTGCGCGTGTGTGTGTGTGCACGCGCGCTGCTCTGGACTAGGAGCCCTACATGTGTTAACGCACTCGATCAGCTCAGCAACACTGTGGAATAAGTGTTATATGTCCATTATTCAGATCAGGAGACTGAGATTTAGAGCAGGGAGGGAACTTGTTGGAGACCATATGGCTTGCAAGCAGCAGAACCTGGGTTTGAACTGACAGCAACCTGACTTCAGAGCCCACGCTTTCCCATGCTCCTACTGCACACCCATTGGAGTCCAGCCATCTTGGTTCTGAATCATAACCCTGACTCTCCTGGCCACATCCTGTGCTCCACATTACATGTTACTCTATAGGTTACCACCCTGGGTCTCTTTCCTATATAAGACATAGAAATACTACTTGTGGAAATCCTAATGTTCCTGATATCTCTGCCATTTTATCATGAAAAATCCTATCCTACCAAATACTGGTGTAATGTACTTGGCCCCCCTGGATTGGATTGGTGTAGGTTAAGGGCAGATACAAGGTCTGAAATAATCCCGGTATTCCTGTATGTGGAGTTATTATCATGGAACAGTTTGCATCTCTGCTGGGCTCTTCCAGCTCCGGTGCTGGCTCATGAGAATCCTATCCCATTAGTCCCCTTTTATAGTTGGATAGTGGGGCTTGCCAGAGGGCACACTAATTTGGGTTAACTCGTTCCCAGGATTCTGGCATTGTAGACACAGAAACACCTACTGTGGAGTTTTGTGTAATATAAACACTGAAAGATTTAGCAATGGGTCTGCCAGGCGGTCCTGACTTCTGGCTGCACAACAAAGGGGGGCGGTTGTGCCAAATGGGGCAACGGAAAGTGAGTTTGGGGCCTGCAGAGCCTCGGGTAGCCCAGACAACCGGGAGAGAATGGGCTGCTTATTCCAACTCCGTCCTTGGAGGATTCCCCACCACAAGTCTAAGGAAGTAATAAAACCTCATGCATTATTTTCTGATATCTGGAGAGAAACACGTACCCTAGAAATGCTGTGGACTGATTCCACAGTTACTTTGTCATTAAAGAAACCAGAATACTGGGAGGTCACCATAAACACAAAAAGGCAGAGAGAGAAGGATTAAATGGTGTTTCATGTAAGGATTTTTAAAGGGAGGCAGAATTCTAGTCTGAAAGGAGAGCAGGCAGATCTGGCATTTTGCTTGAGGAGTTCAATTCTTTGGAGAAAATACAGAGACAAAAAGACCATTTTGATGGTATTTAAAATATCCCTCTGTCCAGCATATCTAAGTGAGTCTAAATATATTCAGCAGTTTTTTAAAGGGCAGATATCAGGCCCGATTCAAGGTATGGAATATAGATTTGAAAGGCTTAGTGACAGGTGAGTGCCTTTCAAGTAACTTAGCATCACAGATGAAGCCCGTGATTGAGCACTGCACCTATGGAGCAGGCGCGTGAGCTTGGACTGAGCTTCCCACCTACCAGCCTCCCATTTGCTTAGGATGAGTAGTTTTCTGCCCTCCTTGGTGAGCCGCTGTGGGCCACTCACACTCCTTACACCCCTTCCCTTTAGTACTTAGCTGTGGCTTACTTGCAAAATCCACATGCACCCTCCTGGATCCCACAGACGACGTATGAAAAATTATGGCCATGAAAAGGGCACGGAAATCAAATTAATTAATTTTGCCTTTTCCCCACATTTGTTTCTGTCTGTCTGGTACTTTTCCTTTTTAAGCCTACC